TTTCTCTTTCCATTTGTTCATTCCTTCTCATTGTTGTTACTAAGTGAACTATGACATATTAGAAATGATAAAGATTTGTCTCAGATCTGTTAATGTTTATATGGGTTATCTGTTTACTTGTTTGTTTTTTTTTCTATTAGGCGATAATTGAATTAAATAATATTTCAGTGTTTAGTGCAATCCCATACATAGAGATACGAGTAAAGATGTATATTCTTATTCATATTACGAGCCGAAAGAAAGAAATTTAAAGAGGATATGTAATTTCAAATTAAAAGTTAGAAACAAACGATTGTTCATAAAATTTATTAATATAACTGAAAGTTTTACATATCAGTGGTTGTACATAGTACTGTGCAAAACTGAGCTCATTGTGTTCCCGTTGTATTACTATGTTGAATGGAATAGTTTTGTAGGGATTTTTTTCTAATATTCTCCCATTGACACTATTTGATGATGAATGTTACCTTCATATCGTAAATAGTCTTCGACATAACTAAATTAATTAATTCCACTAGTGACTAGCTTTCATAATTAGTTAACTTTAATTACCAGAGGGTAAGCTTGATCTCTGGAGTTAATTATTATAGAAATAAGAGATAATTAGTCATTGGACTCATCAGGAGTCCTGAAGGTTTCCTTGATGAAATATTGTAGGTGTTCATTACTGAGCAATTCAAAACTAAGGAGTAGCTAAGTGAATAACGCGATGGCGTATGAACCGAATGGCACTGGGTTCGAGTCCCGGAGTGAACATCAACTCTAGGATGGAGGTACATCCAGCTGACGAGTCCGACGTAGGACGAAACGCGCATCCTGGACTCCACTGCTAGCCACTATCCATCTTTGCTTAGGAAGCTTGTGACTTAAGGTTATATCGAGGCAAATCGCACAGGATGCACATATGCCAACATAAGACTGATCAACTGTAGTCCTAAATAACAATGGGCAGATACAAGTAAAACAACATCATGTGAATCTAAAAAGAAATAGTTGTTAATTCGTTAGTGGTTTTCAATGGTTTCTCTCATATGATGTTAGCTTATGATGGAAATTGTTACAAAATCACTCCGTTTATTTAATATCTGAAATCTCACACTTTTTCAAGGCTACATACTGTCGTATACGTTTTTTCTTTAATGTTAAACATGATTCGCTTCATTAATTTACATATGATTAGTAATATTTACTCCTTTTCTGTCGGACTAATAATAACTTTATCGGTCACGTGAAGTTATTTAACGGACAATCAATTGATTTGTCTCATCGTCTGCATTATTTGAAACATTTTGTTACTAATCTGTTTATCACATTTTGTATGTGTATGTATGTATGTATGTACTTGACCTACAAAATACAGTGATGACACTAACAATAACAGTTATAGGATAAGTGTTCCAAATGTCAACTAATTGTCATTATTCCAATCTTCGAATCTATATTTGAATACTATCTCATTTTCATTTTGATTAGAAGTAGCAACAAGATTAGTAATCATAACAAACCTTCTTAAAAATAGATCTACAAGACAGAAGAGAGAAAAAAGAACACCTTCTTGTGTGCAGTGTGTCTTCAGTGTAAAAATGAATAGGGGATTGTTGGTCAATAAAACTTGTTAAATAGATAATGAATACAGTTATTTTTAGTGCATAGACACTGAATGTGAAATAAAAATGAACATAGGAATGTAACAGATAAATATAGACGTGTAGAAGTTTAATGATTTTCTATGCGAATATGTTGGGATTAGTTGACTGTCAGAAAATTGGTTAGTTTTCTGTTATCTATTGAATATTTTTGAAAAGAGGAAAAGATAAAACAGAGTAATATTTGAATGTCTATAATAAAGAAAACCATATTTAATTTGACTATTTCTTTAAACATTCTATATCTGTTTTTCCTAGCATTCCAACAGCAACATCACCAACCACTATTACTACTGATGTAAGTGATAATAGTAGTATTAGAGGAATATGTAGGCATTTGACAATTCTTTGGTATCAATACATTTTTGATTGTCAGAAAATAAGAATTTTTAGCTTAGATACAACAAACAAAGAACACTGACATTAACGTAAGAGCACAGCTGAGAAAATGAGCAGAAAAAAAACTAAGTGAAAAAAATGAATTAATCATATTCTACTTTCTATTAATAGATTTTTAAAAGGGTTTTTACAAGTAATGGTTGTTTGGTGATTTTCGGCAATTTCCTAGGAAGGTAAATTCTTCTATTTTTGTTGTGGAATAACAGGTTCCTTTTCAAAAGAACCTATGCATCTATCTATCTATCTATCTATCTTTCTTTCTACCATCTAGCTTTCACCACCCTCTGCTGAAGTTTCTTCTTTGATATTCTCGTCAGTTAAAGTTGTAATCTCCGACAATACTGAGTACTGAATGAGTATATATATATACTGATTTTTGCTTGTTTGAACAGGAAATACTGTTTTGTGTGGTAATATGGTATATATAAATTATATCAATCTGTAGAATAATATATTTGCATTAAGAAATCAGTGAACATTTAGGATGAACTTAACTAATTTAGACAGAGTTCAGATGGACATAGTTTGTTATTTTAATACTTCACAACTAGAAATGATTTATTAGGTTTACAATCTGATTTCATTTGAATTTTCAAATTCTATTCAATGTTCAATATAAGATTTGATTTACTATATTAATACAATAGGAATGATATGTTCCACATTCTTAAAGCAGATGGTACAGTTCAGATTTTAATTTATCCAAAGAGTAGACAGAATGTTTCGTATCAGCACTTTAATAGCTTTTTTGTTTAACCACTAACATAATATAATTTGTTTGTAAATGTGATATACTATCGACAAACTAGTTGAATTGATCAACATTGCACCTCTCTAAGAATCAACTATCGTCTACTAAAGCTCATTGATAAACTTAATAGAAATAGACCGTCTCACATTGTCCATACATTCCATATACTTAACTTCTTTGTTACACTAGATGTTAGAAGGGGCATCAGCCTTTTCGTTTTTAAATAATCCTAGCTTTCATCATGAAGTACCATAACTTTTCTATATGAAGATTCTTTAACTCTGGGCAGAGTTAACATGGATTAATTGGTTTAATTTGGTTAGTGTTTTGTTAGCGAGGTTATTTTTTACGAGGTACGATCGCAAACTCTAATCTAATTTCCACCTTTCACTTGAGCTTGAGACGGTCAGTAACTCTTAAAGGGCCCTAGAAGGACTTAAGACAGGGAAGATACCGTTTACAAAACACCCATCTGTTGATAGTTTTTCAATGGAAATAAAATAAAATTCTCCAATAACACATAAACTAGAGTCCATCATAACCCACTTTAAAAATACAAGTCCACTAACGTAATCAAGGCTTGACATGTATCCGTTTCATGTTACTGCCAATAGTTTATACTGATGTAGAGTCTGGTAAATGTTTAACCGACTTGTTTCGTAGTGAAACCTCGAATTCGATGACGCTTGATGGGAATACAAGGACTGATGATATGGATTTAATTGGTCCCGTAAAGAAATCGGATTCATACATGAATACATACACTTATACACTAGTTTAACCCATATTTAATGATAATTTGAATAGTCCTATTAGACAGTTCATTTATGTACTTAACCAACTAGGATAAATCATTCGGATATATTTTCATTTGTAGATTTAATTAAAAATGGGTTTAATAGTTCTATCTATCTATCTATCTATCTATCTATCTATCTATCTATCTATCTATCTATCTATCTATCTATCTATCTATCTATCTATCTATCTATCTATCTATCTATCTATCTATCTATCTATCTATCTATCTATCTATCTATCTATCTATCTATCTATCTATCTATCTATCTATCTATCTATCTATCTATCTATCTATCTATCTATCTATCTATCTATCTATCTATCTATCTATCTATCTATCTATCTATCTATCTATCTATCTATCTATCTATCTATCTATCTATCTATCTATCTATCTATCTATCTATCTATCTATCTATCTATCTATCTATCTATCTATCTATCTATCTATCTATCTATCTATCTATCTATCTATCTATCTATCTATCTATCTATCTATCTATCTATCTATCTATCTATCTATCTATCTATCTATCTATCTATCTATCTATCTATCTATCTATCTATCTATCTATCTATCTATCTATCTATCTATCTATCTATCTATCTATCTATCTATCTATCTATCTATCTATCTATCTATCTATCTATCTATCTATCTATCTATCTATCTATCTATCTATCTATCTATCTATCTATCTATCTATCTATCTATCTATCTATCTATCTATCTATCTATCTATCTATCTATCTATCTATCTATCTATCTATCTATCTATCTATCTATCTATCTATCTATCTATCTATCTATCTATCTATCTATCTATCTATCTATCTATCTATCTATCTATCTATCTATCTATCTATCTATCTATCTATCTATCTATCTATCTATCTATCTATCTATCTATCTATCTATCTATCTATCTGAATAAATAAATAAATAAATAAATAAATAAATAAATAAATAAATAAAATCAAAATTATTTTGATTCCTTTCTCAAACTATACTACTTGACATTCTCTAGAAGATATTTGACCCCAAAGAATAAAAGTAATATGGCATAGAAATGTTATATATTTTGTTTTAACTATGTATGATTTTCTCAAATATTATCGACTAAGTAAACTTTACATTGTTTTTGTTTTCCTTAAATCTCCCTGTGTGTGTGTGTGTGTGTAGGTTTCCTTATTTATTTCGAAGTATATTAAAGCTGCAATGATAGTTGGTTATCAATGATCAGTTGGAATATTTGTTATGCATTGAACAGTTTACATCTAGATCTACATGAAACAATTCACTTTTATTCGATGATTAACAATAATACAACGGATTATTTATAAAAGAATACCATTGATGTAGATTGATTTCTGTTCTTGTATATAATAATAGATTGAAACTAATGACTGGAAGTGACTCATCAATGTGTGATCTTGAAGTTAAATCGTCATTATCATTGACAAGTCACTTACATGAATATCAACGGAATCCATTATTTCACATTAATACCACTACTATTACTACTAATGCTACTACTACTATTAATAATCATATTAACACAACTCCTATTAATAATTATCAACAACAAAATGACACTATGTATGACAATAATAATGATAATGATGTGAAAATCAAGTCATCTATGAATGATTGTATTAGTGACAATAAAATAAATGATACACATTCTACCACTGTTGTACACGAGAAGAATGAAAGTAAGTTGGTGTATGATTGACTTTATTTATTCTTTTTCTTGCAATGATATTTTTTCGATGTAATAATCATACGCCACATGACATCTCACCAAAGAAAACGGACAAGTTCCAAAGGTAGGAACTAAGTTGAAATACACCGAGTCATGTATTTTCGCTAGGGTCTAAAGCTGTGAAAACCTTCTGGTACAAAGGCTAGACCATTATTAAGTTGGAATTCATAATATATAATGTAACAGTTATATATTTTCATCAGTAATGACTATTTTATTCTTAATTCTGAGTTCAAAATCTGGTGAAGTCGTGAGTAATTACTACTGATAAATTCAGAAATAAGGTGAAAAAGTTACTCGACACTTCTTGATTTTCAATGATTGAAAACGCTTTATGATGTAATTCTATTCATAATGAATTAATCTCTTCTTATTATGAAATTATACATACATAGTTTCTAAGATAAAAGACAAATACTCTCTTCTCTGTTTACAAACTCTTCAATCAACGAATGAATGAATAGAATAGAGAAGTATTAATATAGACACAAATTATATTAAAAGACAACAATTAGAAAAAAAGTGTGTAAAGGTGAAAACATAAACGTTTATATGAGAATTAAATAGAAAATTTTGATCATATAAGCAAACGACTACAACTGGTAACTGGTTGAAAGATCACTGATGACCTCTATCATAGAAGTTTTTTACTGAAATTATGAATTCAGTCCTTTGGATATCAATCGTCGTACGAATCTACATTCTGCTCATTTGATTAATCTTTGTAAATTACGATAGAACAATGAGAAGACGGAGTTGATCTGAAAAAAATGTGATGTATTAGCGCTATACATTTCGAACAATCTGGTCACACATATACTTATCAGGGCATTTTTATATGAAAATTAATAAAGGTCAAACAAATAAAAGTACAATTAAAATAACTAAGGGGAGAGAAAGAATAAGAAATTGTCGCGTTATCTTAGGCCATAGAATGACTTAAGGATTACCAAGGTAAAGTCAAGGTTACGACAAATTGTTTTTGTACACATAAGGGGGTTTAAATTTACGAATAGCCAAGGCTTCAATAAACTTAAGAATTCGTCCTTGACAATTTCTATACAACATTCTAAATGCTGTATTAATATTAATTTTATGCCCCGTCTCAGTTATATGTTTTGCTATTGATGAGCTTGGTTTTCTACCTCCTGCATTGATCGGATCATTTGACACACATTGATTTTGAAGCCATCTAGGCACATGTTCATTGATCCTTGATTGCATTGTTCGATTACAGATTGTTCGAAATATATAGCGCTAATACATCACATTTTTCAGATCAACTCCGTCTTCTCATTGTTCTATCGTAATCTTTGTAAATTGTAATAAATCACAAAATTATTCAGAGATTACACTATATACAAAAATTATTTTAAAAGTTTCCATAATTTGTGCATAGTTTCAAATTATCCAATGATCATCCTAAATTAACAAATAGTTGCTAAGTGAATTTTTCTCATTCATACGTAATATCTAACTAACATTTTAAACACTATTGAACAAACTAACATTGTCATTTATATTGAGATATATGATGATTTGATTAGAATTCACTGATGATACCTAAAGATGATTTTTTTTTCTTTAAATCTTAAAAACTGATTGAAATTAGGAATGTAAATTATTCAGATTGTTGGTTAAGTCAAGCGCTCTCAACGAGACCTGTAATTCCTGTGTCAGATTTCTGATAAGGTTATAAATACGAATTGATAAGAAATTTTATATTAGGACGAAATAATTATTAAATCAGTTCGTGTTTTCATTAGTTGTCTAACTAAGATAAATCTATATTGTAAACTATGAATTCTCATTCACACCAAATATAGTATTAAATTCATTGTTTCAAGGTTATCATTGCTTATTGACTTACTTAAGCCTGTTACTTCTCGTGGAGGAGCATAGGTCGCGCACCAGCACTCTCCATTCCAACCCTGTCCTGGATTCCATTGCAAATCATCATCTGTTTCCAGTTTATAATCCTTGTGAAATTATGAATATAGTTTATAGAGATTAATATAAAAAAGAAAATTAATTTTATGTAAATTATAATTAACAGTGAGAATTATGGGGATGAAAAAAAATTTGATTAAATCATAGAACGATCACTGAAATTCTATATTGCTGAAAGCATTGCCTTGTGTTTGTAAATCATTGATTTATTCACTGTCAGAATGACTGTTAATTAAAACAATATAAATATTGATAAATTATGAAAAGAAGAAACATTCAAAAAGCCCAATTTTTCAAGACTTTTATGTATAATGTAATGACTGGATACTGATATGTTGAGCGGCCTATGCTCTTTCACGAGTAGTAACAGGCGTAAGTAAGTAAGTAAGTAAGTAAGTAAGGATACTGATATGTGCACTACTAAAAATGAACAACATAGTACAGAGGACGATTATAATGTATTCTACGTTTTGTACAAAAAAAATAAACACTTTATGACCCCAATTCATGTATCAATTGGACAAACTACATACTATCAGTTATGATGTTTTTTTCCACATTAAACTGTTCATTAATTTTTTTTTTTTGAAATAAGATAATTAACTAGGAAATACAGAGAAACATTTTTATTAGTTATGTCAACCACCCATCATGTTTCTATCTTCTAAAAGATTATAACTAAAAACTAGTCAGTAGTATTATTAGTAGTTAATAATAAATGATAATAAACGATTGAATAACTGTGATCATATTCCAACTCCTTTTAGTTAGAAAATATAATCCATAATAATAATAATAATAATGATTAGTGAAAAAAAGATAAACAGGTGGGTGAAAATTGAAAGGTGGCAGGGAGATAGAAACCAGTTAATTGTACAATGAGAGATAATGGTGGAGATGATAGATAACAAGACAAATATATCTTAGTTATGTTTGAATGAAAATTAATCATTCTACATTCATGTTAATTAATGTAATCATTAGTGTAACAAGTAATAATAATAATAATAATAATAATAATAATAATAATAATAATAATAATAATAGAAGGAGAAACGAAATAAATTACACCATTCCATAATTTATAAAGGCCACCAGGTAGAAAATGGACTTCTTTACAAAATAATAATAATAAAACTATTAATGATTAATAATTAATGAGTCGTTTCACTAATATCTTATTGATTATTCATTGTAATATTGACTTTCTGGTTAACATTTTATTTATTCAATGAAATAATTCAATAAACAATTGAGATTTCATGTTTCTTATTTCCCTTTAGGTGTTAACTTTATAATTATTATGAAAGTTTAACCGAAATTTAAGTGTAGATTTAATAAAATTAAAGTTTTCACCTGAATAAAATTCCATTAATAAGTTACATATTACAATGATTAATTTTAGAAGATGAGAAGTTTAGATTCAGTAAACAAGTTATCCAAATTTTATGATTGTTGGCAGTTTTCTTTTTGAAAAAAAGAAATATGTTTTGAATTTCTAGAAACCCATAGTACAGTATTGTGATTCTTAGTATACGATCTGACAGACTTGAATCGAAAATAGGCGTACAATAGATGGGTATATGAAATTTAGCTCATAATTTAGTTGTATAAACTTCAACTACTCATTAGTAGTTCAAATGTTTTATAAAAAGTATGGGTTGATTTTTACAATCGAATCATGTAATTGTTAGTCAAGGATAAATGTTTTCTTAAGAATAAGATTAAGTGTAACAATAAATATATTTATTCAGTAGACTGAAGTAAATCTTACTCCTTAAGATTTCTACTTATAAGCACTAAAACTTTTAAACTACTTTTAGTAGGTAAAATTGGATGAGTAGTAATATAATTTTTTTTCCTATTAAATACCTCAGTATAAGTTGTATAGTTGTAGAGTAAACTGTATCGAAGGTAGTAAGTTGTTAAGACTTTTGAATACGTTTCTATTGGTTTATTTATCATTCAACTAAAGTTATATGTTTAGGGTTGTTCTTCATTTTCAATCTGAAAAACTGAGTATCATAAATAACCACAATTTAAATTGTGTTACTTTACGAAACCATTCAGTTAAGGATTAATGATAATGTAGAGGTCTCCTCCGAAGCCAAATCGAATGAACTGAGGAAAGCTAGATGATCAAAGTGACGCACCAGCTCCATTATGTGATATTCGTGAAGCCTTGGTCTTTATCGAATCCTTTAGATCAGCTTCACAATATCTCTATTATGTTGAATGACTTAAGACCACGGCGTATATTGTTTGAAGTTATATGGTTGTAGAGGATTAATATAAAAGACAATTCATGTAATTTTTGCGGCCAGGCAAGTTCAACCTTGTAGGGTGTGGAAGACTTATTCAACAATGAAAGTGAAAGATGGTTGTGTAATTTTACAGATTGATTGAAGTGTAACGTGCAAAATACTGAACGCTGGCTATGTGATCTAGAAATGAGATGATTGTAAAGAAATCAAACGTCCTCGGTCCCATCTTCTGTGGAGTCGTAGATATGTACTAATGAAGAGCCCTGTCCTGGGAGGAAACAACTGTCCAATGCTTTCGATCTTTTGGTGATTATCTGGCTATGGTTAGTCCACGAAAACTGAAAACCTCCATTTTAATTTACCTGAATGGTAATATATTCAGTTAGCTAGTCAATTATTCCATTACCTAAAATTTTTTCTCTTAGTAATAGGACATTAGGTTTCGAAATTTTATTCTACGGTTTACAATGTTTTTTTTGTACACTAAAGGTCAACTTCTTTTCTGTTTTAAAGATCCTAGAAGATCAATACCTTTGACGAATGCATCAAGTTTAGAAGGCGGTAATAATAATTTTCAAACAATGTCTGGAAATACAATTCCATTTCTACCAATCGCCGCTACACATGATGGCCGTTATGAATGGCCACCTTCAATGAGGCATTCATCAGCTAATACTGATCGATTCATTCAAGGAATTAACACAAACACTGATACCAGGCAAGAAGATTTCAGAAATCAACTAATAAGTAATAACAGTAATAATTATGACTTCAAATCCGCACATCCTAACAACAATATGGTAGATGATGAAATTAATCAAACGAACCATCATAATTTGTAAGTTATTAATCTCGTTTTTTTTGAATTGTTTCTGGGTTAACTTTTATGCGCTGTTTTTACGGGAAAATTGAAAACAGTGTCGTGTATAATGAAGTCACTAAAACAATCCATTACCATAGTAACATGATACATTTGGTGTTAATTTTTTCAAACTGATTGGTTTAGTGATAAAGCCTTTATTAACTCTCTAGATAACATAACAAATAGGAACTCTAGATAGGATTGAGTTGGTGATTTTTGTTACGTTTGGAAAAAGTTATGTAATCGGGTCGACAAGAGCAATTAATTAGTATATGCCTATTAAAGTGGTCCGTAGTCATAGTTCACCATCAAAACATTCTGGGATTTCACTAATACGACACTTATTTATATATGAATCATATATTTCTTCTATATCAAATATAGACTTAAATTTTAATGTGTTTGCGTTTTCACTGTAAATATATAAATGACCAAGAAGAATGGTTGAAGATAAAGGAATTATGAGACTGCTGAATAGAGTATTTATAGGAAAGAAAATTGTTTAAACTGTAACAGCTTTCGTTCCAAATTATGTTTGGTCAAAACGATCTCTTTATTAGCTAAAATATTATATTCAAAACAACAAATTAAGTGACAAATTAGGCGTTAGCGAAGAAAACTTAATAACGAATGGGTACCCAACTCCCTTTTGTTTAAAAGGAGACGAGATTTCAGGAAGAACATATGGAAGATTCAAGGGCACATTGCTAGTTTCATTATATAAGACCAAATGTCCTTTAAAATAGTCAAAGATAGTCCAATGCCCTTTGAAGTCACCTTCAGTTACATACCTGAATTTATATATACCTGGCGCAGTAAATATTCAGAAATGACAAAGAGAAACGTTTCTGCCAGGTTATCTGAACACGTTTATAGGAACCTATGCCTGAAAGGCGGTAAAGTATTCATATATTCAGTCTTCTGGTTCATGTTGAATAGTGCATATAAATGCAATGCGTTTGAAATAGTTAATAAACAATCAATATTGATTTCACCCTGTTATGCAGAAACAATCACTATCAAACGTTCTTGACCTGACCTATATGTACAGAAAGATAGCATAGATTTAATTTCTGCTTGCGGGATCGTAAATGGGAGTGCCATAATAAGGAGAAATGGTCGTACAATGCCTCCAGCTTCCTAATGGTAGTCTAAACTAGATCAGTTCATGTTTTTAATGAAACTATACACCCAGTTACTATTTTTATAACAATCACATAATCATTTGATTTTAAATCTGATTATTAGCAACCATAATAGTACTCCTTTCATTCTGCAGTGCTATTATTTTTACTATTCTGATACTTTTAAGTATACAATTACTCATGAATCATATATTTCGGCTTCTATTCTTATGACTTTTGGGTCCATTTCGAAAACATTCATCTAAAATTCATTGATTAATGTGTGTTAAGTCTCTGTTTATGATTGTATTACACCTTATAAATTTATTCTTTTTAAAAGCTGATTAGAAACTGCAAACTTCTCACATAACAATATCTGTCAATCAGTAATGAAAAGTACTTCTATCTGTTTTGTTGATCCAATGCTTTGAGTTTCAAATCTGCTTCGTTTTTATTATAGTTGACTAGATTATTCAATGATTTATGTGGTGAATGAAGAGATTAAGACATTAATATAATCTTATATAATCTCATGTTTGATTTTTCCGACTCAAAATCTCTTTATATTTTTGTTTCTATTTTCTTCAACTCGATCTTCTTAGCTTTCTGTTGTCAGCGTTTCCACTTCCAATCGGTTTTACATACTACTTATGTCGATAGACATAAGTAGTATATGTCACACTATGAATAATCGATTTAATGATCTTACAGTATTTCAAATGGTACTATTTGAAATCGATTTATGTCGTTTTTATTAGGAATGCAGTGATTACTGATTCTAATAATTTATTGAACAGCTATTTGACGACATTTGTTGATGTGTAATTTACAGAAACACTGTTCCACGATGAATTTTAAAAAAGTATCTGCCAAAAAATCGGCGAGACTATAATTTATGGACGTATCAATCAGCTATAAGATTTTGGCATGAGATTCATCCATATATTTGGCAAAGTAGCGTTTTGGCATTATAGTTGATATTAGTTTGTGATGAAAACCCTAAATCTAATTCTTCACACTGGTTATAATCCTCATTCAGTCCTAGCTAGTAGGTGGACATTGTCAAGGTCACTTTAGCGTCGCTCAAAGGTCGTCCAAAAATCATAGTTTCACCAAAAAAAATCTAATAAAAATCAATAAAATATGAATCTGAGATTTTATTCAAGTTTTTAGGAACATTTGTGTTTGGAAAATAATGATTACAAACAGCTCTCTGGGACAAGAATCCAATTTTTATAGGACGTGAGACACTGACAGCTTTTGGTATATAACAAAACAATACTTCCTAATGATTACTTTAACTTCATTTATGTGAATAATAGGGAATATTTGATGGTTGTAAGCGATCGACAGAAAGTCCTGGAATTAGGCTTACTGTCATTTAGTTATCGTCATATCTACAAAGTAACTAATGTTCCTTCTGGAACGAACTGTTCGTGTTAACTGATCACTATGTATTAATGAATGTTATGTTTGTCTTGTCTTTAGTGTTAATTAAATTCCATCGATCAGGTTGTAACATATTCATTAATTTAAGTGAATCGATACCCCATGAACTAGTAACAGTATTAATACTATTTTGCTACGTAAATGTGTTTATCGACGTGAGAGTTACTTAACAAATAAAATAATTCACAATGTTTATGAACTCTTTAATGTGTTATAAAATTAAACGGGACTATGTATACGGTAACTGAATGTACTGGGTGGTTAGTAAAGCCATTCGAACATTTGTTTGACCAGACAAAAGCATTTAGATAAACATACAAACTCATTGTTTGGTTCTGTGAGACTATTTAATTATTTCTTTAAAATCTAACCTGACAAATTCATATTTAACTGACTGTTCTGAATTATGCAAAAGTGTCCCTGAAACTTTATAAATACTGATACTTTCATGGATGTTCAAACCAATCTCAGGACCTTTGTCAATCAGAACTCCAAGTCAATACTTATCTTTTATGAAATCATATCAAGTACAATAATAGATCATTGGATATAATTTGTTTATGGTTCTCTTGGACAACACCATTCTATCAATCAACCTTGTATCATCAACATTGAACAAAAAGAAGCAAATATTCATTTACTGAATGTATTTCTATAAAACATTTAAGTCTTCATTATAAGATCTTGCGTTTCTCATGAACGCTAAGGATTTTAACTTAAAATATGTACAATATGAATATTTATTCTTGACTAAACATATCAATGAACATCATGAAATCACTATTCATTACTTACTTACCTATTTACTCCTGTTACTCCCAATAGAGCATAGGTCGCCGATCAGCATTCTCCAATTCACTCTGTCCTAACACTATTCATTACCTCCGATATTTTCATGGATAACAACTAATTGAAAACGAAAATATTACTTTATTCATATCATCATTTCTTAATGCAGACTTTAACAGTAGTTTTGTTATGGTTGTTGCTAGAATATTGTTTATATAATTAGCTAATTCAATAATAAATAAAGAAAAATTCGTTTTCATTTTTCTATATTACCAAGGCTTATCAAAAAAGAAAAAACGCAGTATCTAGTTTATCTGTGTTGTGATCTTGTTTGTTTGTTCTTGTTTAAATTTTGAAACGCTTACCTGCCTACCTTTTTTCAAATGGAATAATCAATAAACATAGAAATTTATGTTTGTTTTTTTCCTGTTTTAAGATAATAAAAAAATATGTGCAACAGGTGTTTATGTTTGTCCATCTTCCATGTATATATACAAATGTAACACAGATACTCACAAACTAAAATTTGGACACTGATTGTGAGGAGAAACAATTACATATTGTGGATCGTTGATCGTGGATGCGTACCTAATGTTGAGGAGTCCCACAATAGGATGAAACGACCGTTTGGTGCTTTCAGATTTTCTATGGTGGTCTAGCTTCAATTGACTCGTGATCTCAACTACTGAAATTACTGAAATATCCACAAACACCCTCCTATTCTGATACTAAGTATACATTACATGTTTTTTTTTAAAAAAAGTATTTAGTTAGACAGTATCCCAATGTCATTTAGTTGTTTTGAAGTGTTTGTAAAGATATTTTACAAATCAGAGTTCATGTATACATATCTAAATATTTACAGAAATGGGTATTGTATAATTGAAAGATATAAATATCTTTATTCTGTAGATTTTAAACAAAGAGTAGTAATTAGTTATATGATATCAGAAGGGGTTTTTGTGGATATTATAGTAATTTCAATAGTTTAGATCACGAGTAAATTGAAGCTAATTCACCATGAAAAGCGTAAAAGTACTGGACGGCCGTTTCGTCCTATTATGGGACTCCTCAGCATTGCGCACCCACGCTCTCACCTCGCGAGATTCGAACCCAGGCTTTCCATGCTGGTCTAGCTTCAACTGTCTCATGATCTCAACTACTAATATTATTTAATGGTTAGATTATATGTAACAGTCTATGTTGATAAATTTAATACTTAATATGTCGTAAATAATTAAAAGTAAAACAAATCAACCCATTAACCTGTCACAAAGGTCTATGAACGTGAGTTTTTTTCTGTAACATAGTTTCAATGCAGTTAATCAGGAGTTTTTTTTAAGATATCATTTGAATAAAACTCCATAGTAACTTATTTATATACCCTGAAATATTCAAATTCCAATGCTGTCATAGGATTGCTTATTCAGTTATCAAGTAACATAGCTACCGGTCAAGCGACCTTGGTTTGTGTCCCGTATACAGGATCGTTGATGCACTCTGTCGAAGAGTCCCATACTATGACGAAATAGCCTCCAAATGATTTCAAGTTTACAATAATAAATTAACTTAGATTGGTTCATGATTTCAACAGTCTTCATAACCCCATACTAA